TCCTGGGTTTCCTCTGTGGTTTACACACAATTTTATACTTAAAGTTCAACAAGCTTTGGTCTTGGTATCTCTTTGTATCAAGCCTAGGTTTTGGCTAATGGGTTTTTGACGAGCTCTCTTGCAGGGTTTTATGGCGAGCACAGTCACAGCTGCAGGCAGCCAGGTACATTTCCAACTGACCGCATCCTGGCTGTTCCCAAGGAGGTGATATTCTGGAGATGTGATTGACATTCTGCCAGAAAGGAAAGAAAAGACTTCCCTAAAAACCAATCTTGTTCAAGAGCAGAATACTGGCCAGGTCTCTGTAGGCAGCATCGACTGAGGTTCTCTTTGTAGATCTGAAAAGGCTGGAGGAGGGGGGCTTTGGGACTCTTCATCTAGGATCAGCCAAATATCGAACACCTTCATCCTTTCTCTCTGTCTTCACGACAGTGCTTAAACTCAATCAGATGGAACCCGGAGACTGACCAGCTGAAAAATTTATTGCCTATTCTCAGTTATATAAAATCAAGGGAGCTATGAGAAAGAAAGTTAAAATAAATTCCTAACGCAAAGTTCTTGAGCATTTGTAATGTGCTGAGCATTGAGCTAGCATGTTTAGAGATGGCTAAGATGTGGTCCTTCCTTAAACAGCTTAAAGTTAGAGAGGGAGGCTGCCATGCGAACAACCAAGGTATTAACTATATCTGAGGTATTCAGGAAGGATTGTGGGAACCCAAGTGGGGGATGGTTAGTTCTTCCTGAGATGTGGAGCTGAAATGAATCAATATGCCTTATGTGACCGTTGGGCTAGGTATTGAAGGTCTGGGACTGAGTGGAAGCTTGCTAGGCAAACAGTAGGAAATAGGAAATATGGCATTTCTGGAAGACAGTACAGCATGTACAAAGGCATGAGAGTGTGAAAAGATGTGATTTGGTCAAGTAGTAGAGAACAGGGCTTTATGATGGAAAGAAAAACATGTGTGAATGGAAGAAGGTAAGGCCAGAAATGAAGTGCAGGAGATGACACAATTGGAACAGGGTGTTTTAGAGGAAATGATCTTTTGGAGAAGATTGAAGGGGAGTGGCGAGATGATGCAGAGGAGTGCCTGTGTACAAGGATAGAGATCCATGGTACATAATTAGTGGTCAGGGAGAGTTCAGGAAGGAACAGTCAACACCTGAGTTAGCTTGAAATCAGGGACGCCCATCAACTCTCCAGGGGAAAGGGCAGATGAAGAAGCAGAGAAGACAAAGGACAGAGCCCTGGGAAACATCAGCACACAAGCAGAAGGAATTACCAGGGAAGACGAGAACAGTCCCTGCACCTGTGATCTGTACCTTCAGCCGTTACCCACCCTCCTTCAAATTGTCACCAGCAAAAACTGAACAGATGAGTAGTATTTTTTTTCCATCCAGTGCCCATGTCCTCTTCATAAGAAGGAGACCCAGGCAATAATATCTATGGTACAGACCTTGCAAGGAGTCCAGAACATGTTGGCTCCTCAACTTAAGGCTGATGTGTTAAGCCTGACACAATCTAAGGACTTGCAATGCTGCTTTGGCCCCCTTGGATAGCCTTCCTAGGCCTGGGCATTTAGAGCTCCCCCTCCTGTTAGTGGGGCTTCCCAGGTGGCACAAGTGGTAAAGAACCCACTTGCCAATGCAGGAGATACCGAAAATGTGGGTTTGATCCCTGGAGCAGGAGGATCCCATGGAAGAGGGCATTGTAACCCACCTCAGTATTCATGCCTGGAGAATCCCATGGACAGAGGAGACTGGTGGGCTATAGTCCATGGGGTTGCAAAGAGTCAGACATGACTGACTTAGCACACGTATACTCCTGTTAGTGGCTTCCTGAATCCCCAGCTGTGGGACCCTGGAAGAAGCCACTTAACCTCTCTGCACCTTGACTAACTGCTCAGGGACTGGAGTAAATAAATTCTGATGGCCCTGAGGAAATGCTCCTATGCCCAGCTATGGGAATAAAGGATAGGAGGCAATGGCAGGTTCAGAACCAGAGGCCTCCCAAGCCCCAAGGAGACTCAGTGACAATGAAGGACCCGTACTAAGGGGCCCCTACTGCAGTCCCTCACTGCAACTGTGCCTTCATAAAGCTGCATCCACATGAGTATCTAGCATCCTTACTAACTCCTCCAGCATAAAATTCCCCCGGGACATGCTCCATGGGCTTCTGGCATGATCCAGCCCCCGCCTCATCCATATTCCTGTGGCACTTCCTCTATTGCTCATCAGAGGTCTCCCTCTTTGGGGCTGGAAAACAACCACTTCATCCAGGTGAACTTGCCCCATCCCTGGCAGTATGGTTATATGCATAGAGGTGTGTGTCTGTCTGTCTTGTGTGTGGTCCAGTCCCTCTACCTTCCTCTCCAGGCAGATTTCCTCACACTTCCTGCCGGCACCACTCCTGCCCTGAACAACAAAGACAAGCACCAGTTATATTACTGTTGCTATATTCCGGGCACCCTTCTAAGTGCTTTACCTGTGAGAATTGTTCATCTTCACCAGAACATGTAAGGTAGATAGTTCTATGTATTACTATTTTGTGCTTTCCAGGTGGTGCGAGTGGTAAAGAACCCTTCTGTCAATGCCCTCCTCCATGGAATCTTCCTGATCCAGGGATCGAACCCTCATCTCTTATACCTCCTGCATCTCCTGAAATGACTTAACATGCGGGCACATTGCTATTTGAGAGATGAGGAAACCAAGGCATAGAGGTTCAGTAGCTTCCCCAAGATCACACAGCAGGTAAACAGCGGAGGCAGGATCAAACTCAGGCAGTCTGACTTCAAAATCTGTTTATTTACCTCCAAGATACACAGCACCCTGAATATAGAAAAACAGAAACCTTCAGAGGTGCAGTTCTACCCTCCAAATTCCTGCCTCATCAAGGGGAAGATTGGTGAAGTAGCCCAGCCACAAGCAATGAGGGTAGAGGCAAGCCTTATGGACACTCAAAGGCACAGCTTCTAAGAGCAAACCTGAGCAGAGCAGCCCTGGGAAATCCCCAAGCACACACCAGCTCCGGCAAGTCAGCAAACCTGGAGGCTGCAGACTTGGTGGGGCAGCCTCTTACCCCCACAGTCTTCACAGTGACAAGCTTGCAAATAGCGGCCAGAGTGAAGGGACTAAAGAAGAATCCTCATGTGTGCACAGCTTGAAAAGGACACACATACAGAGCACAGTAGTCCATAGGAGCACCATCTTTAAATAGAAAAGATAGCCTGAAATACGCCCTGAACTCACATGTGTGCACACGCTCTCTCTCTCTCACACACACACATAAACACACACACACACACACACACACATATACACACACACACACACACGGCCACGGCCAGCAGACTGACTGAACAAATGCCTTAGCTGTGCCGGTGGCAAGGGAAGGAATTCTAGTGCCCTGGCAGCTCCTAACTTTCAGTTCCTATTTAGAATATCTGAATTGGGAGCATCGACAAGCTCCCAAATTAGCTTTTTAAATAGAAGCTGAGAGTTAAAGGAAAAGCGGCCGTGTCATGGGGGAAATGTAAGTGAGAATCCCGGCCAGGCCAGGCCAGAGGCAGAGAGGGGAAAGGCGAGGCCAGGCAGTGCTGGAAAGATGCAATGGAGGGCATGGAGCCCAGGCAAGGGAAGCATCTCCAGGCAGTGGCTCCTTCAGCTGCCGAAGTCAAGGGGCCTCCCTTCTACCCATCACTTGCTCTCTCTCTCTCTCTCTCTCTCTCTCTCTCTCTCTCTCTCTCTCGTTTTCCAGGTCAGCTGATTGTGAGAAGAGCTGGTAAGTAACAGCCACACTGGTCAAGACTAGAAATCTGTCTTTTATATTTTCCTCTAGATCTTCTCAACAGAAAGGAGAATACAGTCTACAGCTACTTCACTAAAATGATGAGATATGAACCTGGGAGGAATGGGTCCAGAGGTGTGTGTGTGCAGGGCAAGGTAGGGAGGGAGATGGGGGGTGTCCTGAATCAATGTCCTGTCTTCAGACAGGGCTGACCAGGCACAGGAGAGCACAGTTGTCCCACAAGTATATCTCTCTGGAGGAGGAAGATGCTCCCAGCTAACTGTTCCTGGAAACCTCCAAGCTTTGGGGCAGACCCAGCCCCTGAGCTACCTGCAAGATGCAAAACAAAGATGAAAATGCACAGGAGTTCAAACCTGGGCAGAAATAAAATGCGTACGTGCTAAGTTGCTTCAGTCCTGTCCGACGGTTAGTGACCTTGGACTGTAGCCCACCAGGCTCCTCTGTCTATAGGATTCTCCAGGACAGAATATTGGAGTGGGTTGCCATGCCCTCCTCCAGGGGATCTTTCTGACCCAGGAATTGAACCCCAATCTCATGTCTCTCACATTGGCAGGAGGGTTCTTTACCACTAGCGCCACCTGGGAAGCCCCAAGAAAAAAAAGCACTGAGTTTTAACTCCCAAATTGGACAAGGGGGTGAATGGCTGAAGGAAACTGACCCTCCCCAGACCTGCTCATCCAGAGTCTGAGAACTCTCAGGGGTCACAGCAGTTGGGAGAAAATTAGCTCTTCCCCAGGGATGGGAGGAGGGAGGTGGGAGCAGAGCCAGGGCCTTCCCCGAATTCTTCCCCCCGTCTGCCAGGGAGTGGCACTGTTGTTAATCATTATTACTGTATGCAAATCACTATGCAAATCCCACACCACTCCTGGGGCTCCTGGCAAATGCTAATAGAGCCCACACCCAGCTCTTCAAGGGCCAACTGTACACCTTTCAGACAGACTAGCTGAAGGGGGCTTTGCGGGAGTGGGACGAATGGGTGAATGAGGGCTTCCGAGCCAGCCAAGAGCCCGCTGGGACTCAAGCCACCATGACTCACCCCACCTCTTAATCTAGAACAGGGCTAAGGGTTCTCATAAAAGCCAGAAGCCTCATTCGGAACTCAGAGGTTCTTTCCCAGCCCCCTTCAAGCACGTCTGCCCCTTCATCGCACTCTGCTTTCCCTCGGGCTCTGTTTCACACCCAGAACCGTGGTCGCTCAAGCTCTACGTTTCAGTCCCTGCTGAGGCACGGAGCCGCATCGCCTCCGGAGCGCCAGGCGATTCCGAGCATCCAGGCCGAGATCTCGGAATTCTGGACGCGGGGACAGCTGGAGCCGCTCGGGTCGGCACCGTTCGCGCGGACTGAACCCTCTGCCAACCGAGGCCGAGAGTGTGGGAGTCTGGGCCGTATACCACTCTCTTGGGATGCTCCGGGGCTCCATCCGCCCGACCTCTTGGGCACTTGCCGACTGCCCGCTCCCCATCCTGGGCCGAGCCACCGGGCAGTGGGGATCCTTGGGCTCCGGAGAGGGATCGAGGGGCCGGGAGGACTCGGGTTGAGAGTTCACGCTGCCAAGTCCAGACTTAGGGGTCTAGGTACTGAGGCCACGTGGAAGGATAGGAGGCCGAATCCCTACCTTCGGGTCGTGCCCCTTGCGCTCCGGAAGAAGAGCGTCTCTTACGTGGGGCAAGGGCATTGTGTGTCCCCCCGGGACCTCTCCAGCCCCGGCACACCAAGCTCACGGCCGCGGCGAGCTACGAAGCTTGCGCGGTGACGGGCTCCACCTCCCCAGGTGGCAGGGCTCGGCCGCAGGCAAGTGCTGATGCCGCGTGGACAGTCGGTGAGAAACAGACACCCAGCTGGGTCCACACACACACCCCACGCGCTCACACACTGACGCTCCCTGTCACCTCTCCCCGAGTCCCCAGCACACACGCCTCCGAGCTCACACTCACGCCTACTCCCCGCTCCGCCTCCACGCCCAGGCCGAGCTCACCTTGCCACGCTCACCCCCCTGCCCACCCTCGCTGGCACACGCGCCCACACCCGCGTCGGCACACTCCGCCACCTCCAGGCACACCCTAGGATTCCTCCACTGGCCCGGGGAGACGCACCAGGCTCTGCCTCGTCTCCCTGCCCCCCACCCTGGCTCACGCGCGCGCCCCTCTACACACACACATACACACACACGCGCGCACACACACACCCTCGAGCGGGGAGTCACTCCCCCTAGCACGCCCTCGCCCTGGGCACCCTCCCGCGGCGAGGCTCCAGGTCCTCCTCGTCTCTCCCTCCGCGCTCTGGCCCGGCCTGGAGCCGCTCGGTCGCCGGGGATCTGTCGGGAGGCAAGGGCGCAGCCTCGCCGCCTCCCCCGGACTCTCCTCTCCGCCCCGCCCGCGCCGCGCCCCCATCGCCTCCCCCTTCGGAAGAGGGACCTCGCCAGGCAGCCGGTGGCCCGCCGGGCTCCGCTCCGCGCGGCGCCGGCAGCGGCGGGGGCAGGGCGCGAGCGAGGGAGCCCGCGAGCCCGCGAGCCCGCGAGCGGAGCGGTGAAGCGGGGAGGGGACGCGCTGCCGAGCCGGGTCTGGAGCGACGGCGGCCGCGGCGGCGGCGACGGGGGAGGGAGGGCCCCACGGACAGACGGACGCAAGAACGGACGGAACGAAGAAGGGAAGGAGAGACTTGGCTCGCGAGGAGGAGCGGTGCGAGCGGCGGCCGCTGGGCGCTTCCCCGCGCTGCTGGGTGCTCTGCGCCTCCGCGGCCCCCGGCTCCCCGCGGCAGCTTCCTCGCGCGCGCGGGGCGCGGGGTGCGGGGCCCGGGGCTTGCTTCGCCGAAGGTAAGAGGGACGCGACCGAGCCTTTTGGAGCCAGGAAGCGCGCTCAGCGCTGCTCCCACGCCTGTTGCTCCGGCTGCCCACGCGGCACCCTCCCACTCCCGCACCCGGGTGGGTGGGCGCTGGGGCGCCGGAAGGATTGGGGGTGGGGCTGGCGCCGTGGGGGAGCAGGCAGCCGGCCCGGAGGCGTCGGTTCCCGCGGGCTGCGGAGCCACCTCCGGGCAGCTAGGCGCTGTGAGGTTTGGAGGTGGGGGTGTGAACCTCTGCCCTCCTTCCATTGGCCTGCCTTCCCTCCGGGGTGCCAGAGGCAGCGCCCCGGGATCCGGCGGCAGGTGGCGATGGCTCGCTCGGTCCCCGCTCCTTCTGAGGGGAGAAGGAGAGAAATGGCTGAGGATGGAAGCGGGGAGCAGTTTGGGGCGCTTTACAAAGTTCTTCAGCCGGGCGATCGGGCGGTGTGCCTATCATAGGCTGGGGGCCCGCACATCTGGTCCTGCCCGACGCCGCTTGCCCCCGGCGAGCTCTGGGAAGGGTCTCTGAGCAGCAGCAGGGGCCGGAGTGGCCCGGAGGAGGCCGTTGGAAAGACTCACTTTGCGAGATGTTTACACTGGGAATGAGGTGCGGAAGGGACTGGGCAGAGAAGTTACCTAGAATCAACTAAATTCCTGCACTTGCTTACTGTTGACATTTGAATCGAGTCCAAGATGTTCTGCTTTTATCCCGGGCAGCGGTGATATGTCAGCAACAGGCTGAGGTTCTGAACCTGGAATCTTATAGCAAAGAGAAGGCTCGGTTATATTTCTTGGGAGAGGGTGCCTGAACTTTCTCCCGATTGTAGGTACAAGGCAATCTTTTCAAGACCTGGTTCTGTGTGGTTCGTGATGTTATTTTGCATGAATGTTACAGAGATGGTTAAATTTACGCGTTATTTACCATCACTTCAAGGGAACCCGGATATTTAATGTCTGTAGAAAGGGGGCCTGGGCCAGCAGGAATTCAAGGCAAAGCATGTGTACCTTTTTCCCATGTGGACATGTTGGTACAGGGGCTGGAATAGATGTGTTTATTTTCCCCTGTCTCTACTGGAATGCAACAAAATGCAAGTACAAAAGGGACCCCCAGAGGAAGAAAGATTAGCAGCTTGCTCCCTTTTGCTGTTGAAGAGGCTGGAGAAAAAAATCAAGAGTTCAGAAAAGTGCTCTGGCCAGCCTAGGAGAGGCACTGCGGGAGAAGAGGATCTCTGCGTGTGTCCCAGGCCTGCATCCCAAGGATCCCCATCTCGTCACCCTACCAATTTCATGGCTGCTTATTCAAACCCTGTGGGCACAGGAGAATGCCCTCTGGGTTGTCAGGACCCTCTGCTCCCAGACTGGCTCCATTCTGGGCTGAGTGAAAAATTGTGGAAAGTGAAAGTTTCAAGAGACTCTCCATACCCAGTTTTCTGTCGAGGTCACTGAAGGGTAGATCTTGGTGACATGATGTTTTCATTGCCTTGTGCCTGTGCTCAGGTTAAGTGTCAGTCCCCAGGACAGATGGTCTGCTCACTTTGCCCACGTTGGGCCCTCTATCTCCGCCACAGAAGCTGGCTAACAGGGCTGCCTGATTACAGCAGGGGGAATGTGTTTCCCTTTTCTAGGATTTTTTTTTTTTTTCCGCCTGTGTCATTTCAGCACTCACCTGTTTCAAATGTCTCTTCCCCATCCTCCCCCCACCCCCATCTTTCCCACTGTCAAACTCTTCTGCCAAAAACAAAAATAGCTTCAGATTTTTCATTTGTAAGGCGTCCACGTCCTAGTAAAACCTTGGCATTTGAGGCCTGTGCAGTGCTATTGGCTGGAAATGGGGCCGCACTGTGGTGCCTGTTGCAAGAATTCATACCCAGGTCAGCTCCAGGAGGCGTTGGTGCCTGTCAGGGGGTGAGTGTTGTGGTGAGAGTCTTGGAGAAGCCCTGCTTGAGCTGGGTAAAGCCTGCAGGGTTGTATGGAGGGGATGGCTGGCATGGCCACAGGCATGGGACACTTTTCCTCCACTACCAAACTCTCTCTCACACACACAGAAGTAACAATGGGGTGATTCCTCCCATTCTGGTACTTTTTACCAAGCGGACAGGGCTTGAAGCTTTGGAGACAGCCTGGCCTTCTTTGGGAAGATCGTCCTGGTTTAATACATGGGATAAAAGTTCAACTGTGGGACCAGAGGCTTTTATGATAGATAGAGAGGGACTGTTCTTCCTTCCCCAGTTCTCAATTATTCATCTGAGAGTAGTTTGTAAAATACCCAGAGACTTTGGCGAAGAGGAGATTGGCATGGGGAGGGGAGAGTAAAGTGATGGGATTCAGCGTGGCAGCAGCAGGTACCAGGGAGTGAAGCTTGGGAGTCAGGGTGAAACAGCACTGGCAGAATGGAAGTGGGAGGGCGCCACTCTCTCAGGGTATACAACTGCATACCTGGCCCAAGCAGAGTATTAGGGGGGTACCTGCTGGTTCTGTGGTCTCTTACTTTTTGCCACGGGAACCCCCCAAGTTTCTGCCTTTCTTAGCTCCATCCTGGGATAAAGCAAGGATGTTAAGAGTCAGAGTTCCAGGGCCCAGGGTCTGGAGCCCAGGCCCCTTTTCCCTCCAGGGGTGTGGCCAGGGGTTCTGTGAATGAACTGGGCCTTTGATTGCCTTGAGTTCTAAGCAATGCAGGCTCTGTGCCCCTTTCTGTGCACCAGCCTCATCAGAAATTCCCAGAAGTGCCTCTGTTAAAAGGAGGCTCAGACTAACTCCATCCCCACAGCAACAAACCCAGAGGCTCTATGGCTTGCTTTGCAGGGGCCACCATGAGGAAGAGATCTTGGTGACACCTGAGCTACAGGCTTGATGTCCTGGATCCAGTAGAATCAAGGATTACTTGAGCTAGAGATCTCCTTGTCACTTTCTTGTCCAGTTATCTCATTTGACAGATGAGGCTTATGCGGCCCAGAGGATAATGGTGGCTTGCTTTCACAAGTTCAGGTGAGAATTAGAACGGGAGTGCTGGGCCTTCCAGACCCCGTGCTTTCTGCTGCCTGGGGACGGGGTGGGCAGAGCCTGCATCCTGCTCTCTCCCCAAGGACCTTCGGTATTTGGCTACACCTAGGTCAAGAAAGTCATTTGGCAGTGAACTGCCATGCCATGCTGCCATGCTCTGTCACTTCAGCTGTGTCTCTTTGGATTGCAGCCTGCCAGGTTCCTCTGTCTATGGGATTCTCCAGGCAGGAATACTGGAGTGGGTTGCCATTTCCTCCTCCAGGGGATCTTCCCCACCCAGGGATCAAACCCGTGTCTCTCATGTCTCCTGCACTAGCAGGCAGGTTCTTTACCACTAGCACCAACTGATCAGTAGCCTATTGGAAAATTGTCACTTCCTGTATACACAGAACATAGTCACTTTGCAGGAGTCTCAGCTCCTTTCCTGAAGCTTGTCAGTATAAATGCCCATGTCATAGGATTTTTGTGGGATTAATGAACTCTTCCTGCAAAATGTGCTTAAACCGGCGCCCACTGCATAGTCAGTGATCAATAAATGTTAGCTTAATCTGGATTGGAATTATCTTGTGGCCAATCTTTAAACTGCAGGCTTTCTTCCCAAACTTCTCTTGCTCCTCAGAAAACCTAGCTGAGTGTGTTTAGGGACTACAGATTCTCCTCGTAGCCTAAAGGAAATACAGGGAGTTAAAAGGGTACATTTCTCGAAGAAAGATATAAAATGCATGGGATGTGTTCCCCAATCTTCTATCAGCAGCATGTGGATTACTCATTGCCATGGATAAACGATCCCCCTGTTCTTTCCTCAGTTCCCGTAATCAAGAGCTCATCAGGCCTGCACTGTTTTTCTGTTCTCTGACTGGTGACATTTTGAGGGAATGTCATTGTCATTCCCGATGTCTTCTGTGGCACCTGAATCACCTCCCTTTATGAGGAAGCAGAAAGTCCTGTGAACATGCTCCTTAGCATGCAGAGGGGAAACTGAGGTAGAGGTCGGCTCCTTGGGAAAACTCCACTGAGAGCCACAGTGAGTCAGAGGCACTTAAATTGGGTTCATTTTATTTAGATCTGTCTTCAGAGTTTACTGAGTGGAGAGAGAATGCCCACCCTTGAAAACCCTGATGGTGTGGAATAAAATTGATGGATTATAATTGGCATCTATGTAATCATGATTCCCACCTGTCTTTTATTGTGCCCACTTTTGGGGATCATCGGCAGGTTGAGCACATACTACGCTACCTCCTGACTTGTCATGTAAAGATAGAAGCATCGTGGCTTTACCCTTAAGGAGCTTTGTGTGGGATGGGGAAAACAGGGAGGAGGCCTGGCTATCCCCTCAAGCTCCACACTGAGACGGCCCGGGTTTAAATCTGCCTAATCATTACATCCTTCAGCCAGTTATACCGCCTTATGCTTCATCTTCCTCATCTGCAGAATGGGGATGCCGGTGGTGTCTGCCCGCTGTGGGTGTTGGTGGGGTGGATTGAAGTGGTCCATGCCATGTAAGCACGTGACACTATGCTGGCTGGCAGTCAGCCCTCAGTAAGCATCACCTAATATTCTTCTTACAGGAAGACCTTGAGAAGCAGGGTAGCACAGGATCTCGGGGCCTGTGGTGTGGGGTCAGACTGCCTGTCCAGGACTATAGTCCCTGTCCTTCCCCCTTCCAGCTGGCCGACTGCTGAATTTCAGACCTCTTCTTCCTAGGGTTGCTGGGAGGATTACATGAGCGGATCCACTGGAGACAGTGCCGTGCCTGGCATAAAGTCAGCGCTCAATTACTGTTGGCCATGATGATAACACTCGTGAAGAGTGTCTGTAACCCAGGCGAGAGGGTGATAGGTGCTAGGGAAGAGGAGCAAATAGAGTGTGGAGAGCCCAAAGGAGGAGAGAATTTCAGAGTGGGGAGAGGAAGACGCATCACAGAGAAAGCAAGGCACAGGGGAGCTTCTAATTGGAGGGCTGGGTGAAGGGGAAGGATAGTCCCAACAGAAGGAAGAGTGCCCACAGACAGACCCCCAAGGACTATGCACGAGCCCATCTAGGATCTAGGATAGGTGCCTGGGACATGGAGCTGGCATGATAAACCAGGATCCATTTGTGAAAATGCCAGAATGCCAGTCCAAAGAGTTCAGACTTGATTTGGTAAGCCGTGGGAAGATCTTGGTTTAGGAAGATTAACCTGAGCAGGATGGATTTACTGGGAACAGGAGAAATAGGGGTCAGGAGAATGAGAGACAAAGAGACCAATGGGAAAGAGGACTCAGGCAAGCGAGGCCTTATGAGAGCAGAGACCTACTGTCTCACTATCTGGCAATTATTTGCATCTTTGGGTGCAGCAGTGAGGAAGATGGCCAAGGTGACAGGCCGGGGGTTAAGGATGCTGTGAGCCAAAGGTGAAGAGCAGCTTTTTGCAAGGAGGTAGAGCCAGCTTCTTCCTGTCCAGTTTCAGAGATCTCCAGGTGGCAGAGTCCAGGGGTGGCTCAGGAATGAGAGAAGGGAGAAATCTGGAAAACTTAGCAGAGTTGGGAGTCAGGAGAAGCAAACAGGGTTACAAGGAAAGATGAGATCAAATCGCCTTACAAGACTGATCCTCTGCCTCATTTATTTAAACCAGCTGAATTACAGAGGGTCCAAATCATTGAGTCAGGATTGGCTCTGTGAGATCAGTTTCGGATCTGGGAAAATGAGCGTGTCAACCCCAAACAATTTCCCGTTGCTGTTCGTGTGTTTCTGTGTCACCACGTGTCTCCCCACAGATGGTATACATTTGGGGATTGCAGACTCATTTCACTACTGTCTTTAAAAAGCCAGACTCGGGAAGGTAAATCTGTTTCCCAAAGCCAAATATAATTCTCCGTGCCATTGTTCCCTCCATCCATGTAGGTGATGGGGAAGTGTGTACACAGCCCGGTTCAGAGAGCGGTGAGTGAAGGGCCGAGGTGGCCCAGCTCCGGAGGAATCTCTGAGGGTGGAGTGAGGCCAGGTGAAAGAGGTTGGCATGGGAAAGGGTATTGTTATATAACCTGAGGGAGTTAGGGATGGTGGGCAGATGGAGACGGGAGGCGAGGAGTCTGGAGATGGCAGTAAGTGTGGATCAGCTTCCTCTGGGAGGGAGAAGGACAATGCTTGGAAGGCAGGTGAACCAAGAATCCAAGAGTCCTTTACAAGGTGGGGGAGGAACCCTAGCCTCCAGCCTCTCCCACAGCTTTCTATTATGGTTCTGAGAGCATGACTGGACATGAGGTTGCCAAATGTCCCAGCTGAATGTCCCAGAAGGTAGCATGCCACCAGGGTCAGCCTTCTCCATGGAACTTGGGGACAGAACTCCACCAAGTTCTGGCATTTCAGAGAATTTTCCAGAGTCTTGGGCAGCCCAAGCCTCCTCACCAGTGAGGAGTGGAAAGAATGTGTTTCCCTGATCTCCCCCCTCCACACCCCATTCCTGATTACCCTAGTGGGTGAAGAGAGAAATAAAAATTAGCATGTTTATCCCACTTTTAAATTCGTTTAATGAGAACTCATTTACCCTCTTCCAATTTAAATTCGTAATGACACCATAACCTTTCGGAGCTGATTATTAACCACGTCTTCCCAGATCTTTCTGCTAAAGAGGCTTTCCCTCCAAGTGCTCCTGAGCCCTCTTGGAACTTGACAATTTGTCAGGCAGTCAACAACATCTGGTGATCCCACATTGCTGCAAGACCGGGTGCGGAATCAAGTCCCCTCTCTTTGGTGGCGACTTCAGTTCCATTCATTTCCCTTCCAGACGTTTGCTGTTTCACTTCCTGATGACCCTTGCCTGTGTCCCATCTCCCACCCGGGCGCAGACAGGGACTCACGGGTTCTCTGCTCTCTCTTCCTGTCTCCAGGGGTCGCTGAACTAACTTCCAAGCTGGTGTGCGGGGTGGCAGAGCAGTGGCCGCCCAGGACCTGGAGTCACCATGGCGGCCGGAGTCGCAGCCTGGCTGCCCTTCGCGCGGGCTGCGGCCATCGGGTGGATGCCGGTGGCCAACTGCCCCATGCCCCTAGCCCCGGCCGACAAGAACAAGCGGCAGGATGAACTGATCGTCCTCAATGTGAGCGGGCGGAGGTTCCAGACGTGGCGGACCACGCTGGAGCGCTACCCGGACACACTGCTGGGCAGCACGGAGAAGGAGTTCTTCTTCAACGAGGACACCAAGGAGTACTTCTTCGACCGGGACCCGGAAGTGTTCCGCTGCGTCCTCAACTTCTACCGCACTGGCAAGCTGCACTACCCGCGCTACGAGTGCATCTCCGCCTACGACGACGAGCTGGCTTTCTACGGCATTCTGCCGGAGATCATCGGCGACTGCTGCTACGAGGAGTACAAGGACCGCAAGAGGGAGAACGCCGAGCGGCTCATGGACGACAACGATTCGGAGAACAACCAGGAGTCCATGCCCTCGCTCAGCTTCCGCCAGACCATGTGGCGGGCCTTCGAGAACCCGCACACCAGCACGCTGGCCTTGGTCTTCTACTACGTGACCGGCTTCTTCATCGCCGTTTCGGTCATCACCAACGTGGTGGAGACGGTGCCGTGCGGCACGGTGCCCGGGAGCAAGGAGCTGCCGTGTGGCGAGCGCTACTCGGTGGCCTTCTTTTGCCTGGACACAGCCTGCGTCATGATCTTCACGGTGGAGTACCTCCTCCGGCTTTTCGCGGCGCCCAGCCGCTACCGCTTCATCCGCAGCGTGATGAGTATCATCGACGTGGTGGCCATCATGCCCTATTACATCGGCCTGGTCATGACCAACAACGAGGACGTGTCGGGCGCCTTCGTCACACTCCGGGTCTTCCGCGTCTTCAGGATCTTCAAGTTCTCGCGCCACTCCCAGGGCCTGCGGATCCTGGGCTACACCCTGAAGAGCTGTGCCTCGGAGCTCGGCTTCCTCCTCTTCTCCCTCACCATGGCCATCATCATCTTTGCCACTGTGATGTTTTACGCCGAGAAGGGCTCCTCCGCCAGCAAGTTCACAAGCATCCCCGCCTCGTTTTGGTACACCATCGTCACCATGACAACACTGGGGTAAGTAGGAGCTGTTGGACTGGAGAAGGGCGGAGGTTGGATTGACGGGGAAACTGTGGATGGTATTAGAGCCGGACACGGAAGGATGGAGTCACTTCCCCAAGTTGTAGGAGCAAGGGAAGTTGCTAATCAGAAGAGGAAGGCGCCTAAGTGATTTGTTTGGGGATGATGAATGCTCTGAGTTGAGTTTTCTTTTAGCAGTAGGGTATGTATTTTACAAAACAGGGAAAATTGTCACCATGTCTTTTTTCAGCCACGCATTCTGTGTATGTGTGTGTGGTGGGGGAGGAGTGAGTGGAGACTGCTGCATTCTTATATGCACCTGAGCTTGCAAGGGCTGCCTTGAGGAGGAAAACAGGGCAGCAGGAAGGAAGAATGCTGTAAGAAGTTCAGTGAGAGTTGTCAGGAGGGTACAGATTTCCATTCACAGGAGACCCTAGAACTCTCTTTTTGGAGCCTCCCTGCATTTCTCCTTTGTAGTATATTTGCAGGCTATTTTCTCTTCTGCCTTATTTTTCTTTTTTGCCACCACAGATGCTCAAGGGCTCAGTAGCTCTGAGTAGACTTTCTCTAAGTGACTCTGAACTTGGGTTTTCTGCAAAGTGGGGCACCTGATTTGTTTTTTTCCTCGCTGAAGGAGCAGTAGTTTTGCTTTCTCAGTCTCACTCTGTGATGGGATGATCCTTCAGCCTACCTGGGTGATGGTGAGATGGTCTGATTGATCATGTGGTCAGACACAGTAGCAACAATATCATCAGTGGGAGGGAAAGGTGCTCAGTGAGGTCACGGGTGACTCTGTCTCTTCTCTCCCCAGGGTCCCCTCTCCAGTTGAGATCACCAAAATATATTTATGGTGCTGGGATATGAAGCTTTCCATCAGAGGATGGTGGCGGGGGGGGGGGGGGGCGCTCAAGAAGCAGATTACAGTCTTCACCTAACAGGATTAAAGCCAGCGAAGGCAGCTTCATGGAGATATGTATTTCTTAGGGGCTGCTGCTTCAGGCGTGGGAAGTCATTGAGGCTCAAGCAAAATCCCTTCACAATTCATACACTGGGGCTGTATTTGCTTAGGCCAGGAAGCGTTATATTACTGATGGAGAATTCATGAAGCTTTTTATTTGGTGTTTGACAATTCAGTTGGTGGCGTCCTGGTGATTCAATTTTTTTTTTTTTTCCTGGCTGAAACCCTGTGGCGCTGGTATCGGTTTTTCCATAGTGCTTATTGGGAATGACTGAGCAGGTGACAGGACCTTTTAAAATGATTACATTTGTCATTCTGCCACATGGAAGAGAGGAGCAAGGGGGAGAACGAGGGCTGTTGTTGTCCATTTGTGAAGGCCACATTTGATGGGGGCATTCCGCTCATCTGGCAGAGGCCACCTTGCCCTTCCCTTCCTCTTCAGCACACACGCAGTCTCCCACTAACAGCTTCCACCCAAAGTGGGCAAGGATGTCTGGTCATTTGACCTTGTCTCTCTTGACTCAGGGAGTAGATGTGGCTTCCTGGCATGGTGGGATATTTAGGGATAAGATGGACTGGAGAGCTGGCCCTGTGTTAGGAGAAGGAGGCACATTTGCTGCTTCTCTGCTAACCTCGCCATCCCCTCACTTTCCTGAAGGGAACTTCTCCATTGCCAGGACCTCCGTGGCTACACTCTGACTGTCCAATACCCTTAACTGCCCCTTGATGGGACTCATGACACCAGTGATGCCTCAGGACTGTCATGGGGAGAAAACAGGGCAGACGGCTGAGTGTCAGAGTGAAAATGGGGCCATTTCAGAGGAGATCAATGGAAACGTCAGTGGCCACCTGCCCGTTACTTTTTATTATTAGCATAACAGCATATGTGTGTCTACTATGTGTCAGCAGTGTGCTGAGCACTTTGCATATGTTATCTCTTTAAGTCTTCACAACAGCCTTGCAAGGTAGGAAAAATTCCACATAACTTTGAAGATGCAGCAGGCAAGGCTCAGAGAGGTTAAGCAAATATCTGTAGTCACATAGCTGCTGAGGGGCAGCGCCGCTTTTGAAATACCAGCCTGGCTGTCTCCAGGGCCCTTTCTCTTTTCATTTCCCACTCTACTTGTTCCCATACCATCAGGGCATGTAGGTGGAAATCAGTCCTTCAGAGCTTTTCTTTCTTTCTTTTTTTTTTTTTTAATAACCTCAGGGTGTCATAATCTATTCTAGTCCTATCTCTGTTTAAGAAAGTGTCAACGTGGTGAGGACTACAGGCACCTCACTAGGCACACAGGGAATTTATGAATATATAAAACATTTTCTTCTGGCCAGTTTAAGTTCTGCCTGGGAAATTAATGGCTGCTTTCACTGCAAAATCTATTTACTGTCACTGGGGAGACCAGTGATTTCCTTTAGCCTTCGCTGTGTAGATCAAGGTCAAGTCTAGCGCCAGTGGGTGGACAGTCATGGCGTCACATTTTCTTTTGGGAGGTGAGGGAGGGACAGAGCAAGAGGTCTGCCAGAGAGTGAGGACTCCTGCATGGAAGGACCCACACTGCCCACCCCTACTTCAGGCCCTGCGAGCTCCTCACCCTTCCCTTCCTCAAGCAGCAAGATGTCTAGCCTTAGTGAGGAAAGACTCACCAGCAAAAATGAAACCTTCAGTCATGTTTTGCTTAACCTCCGTTAAGTAATGGGAAAGCAGGCTTTTGCTCCCCGTCCGCCCTGACCAGTGTCGGGCGGACCGGGCCGCTTGACTCTGACCTGAGTTGGCGGTGGAACCCATCACCCGGCTTGTTGCTTGGCTCTAAGCGGCAGGTATTTGGCAAAACTCTTAGATGGGTGAGTCAATAAGAACGGGGCTCCTTCTCCATGTGCTTGGTCTGATGCTGTCCTCAGTCCCTTCCAGACCCACCTGTCCTCTCTCCAGGGTGGACCCAAGACTTGTGTCTCCCCCAGTCCTGGCCCCAGCGAGGGAGCAGGGCAGTCTTCATCTGGTGTGTGCTCCCCCCTCCCTGGGATGATCTGCGACACTGTGGAGGGTCTTCTTGCTCTTATCGGAGGTCTTACCCCCCCGATCCTGGAAACCGTCCCTCTCCTCTGGCTGCTCTCTGTCCTGAGCACATCCACTGGCTACTTGTAAGCTTGCTGGATCATTCCGGAAAGCCTGTCTTTGCTTACCTTTGCTGGTATTTGAACCCCAAGTGGCCGTGCAATGCCAAGGGCCAGTGTTCTGTCACGTTCCACATTCTGTCTGGTTGCTTCCAACAATCCCTGGCAGACTCCTACTTCTTCGTGTCTCCAGACCCTTCCCACCTACACCTTCCTAGGCTTCCTAGTTCCAGTCTGGAAGGGCTGTCCTGTGGGCCTTTGCTGACGGACGAGTCAAGGGCTGATGTGTTAAGTGAAGGAGTTTGCTCTTCCTGGCTCTGGTTGCCATCTCTCTGCCTGCTTTCCCAGGACCCGCTGATGAGTTACTCAGGTGTCCTCCAGGGAGGGATCTCCTGGAGCCAATTATTCCTATTTATTTAATTTCTCAGAATATCTTGAGCACACAGAACAATAACAACCCAGCTGCCACCAATGGCTTTCCTTGGCCACCTCCCATGCTGGTGGGAAAGACACCTTTGCCCAGCCCAGGGTTCCCTGGTGCCTCCTTGACAGTTGAGCTTCCAAATTCACCATTAAAGGATTAATTTCTGTGCTCATAATTGATGCTATAAATAAAATAAATCCTCAATTATCTCAGTTAACAGAGGGAAGGGATAACACAGAGCTCCCAATATTGAATAAGATCAGCACCTCTAGTTTGGAACTGTATTATATATCATAGACTTTTTCAAAGCAGATTTTCCCTCTTCATTTTGTTTGACTTTGCTTGACATCACCACTGGGCACACTGTCTGAGCCAGTCCATGGGTAAAGCTCACGTGGGGCATGGGGCAGAGGGGAAGGAAGCTTTGTGAACAAGCATCCACAAGGGCCATCGAGCGCCAGCTCCAGGCCTGGAAGGGATAAAGTGCTCTTGGACATCTTAGGGAGGGGGAATTGGGCTTGGGAAGGGCACGGAGCAGCGTCACTCTAATGAGATGGCCCGATGCCGCCTGGTTGGCTTGGTTATGTAATTGAGACCGGCAGCCTATCTGTCACCCCGTGCCCTGAGATGAGAGAGCTTTTGACAGTGTCCAAAAATCACTTTAACGAAAACAGAATCGATTTTTACTTCTTCCAAGCACGAAGCAGCCTCCAGGTAATTTGCATTTCCCTTTAAAGTCTAATCCTGGAAGGGGCCTGCCTGAGTTTTCAGAGACTGGGAGCCAGGCCTGGGAGATCAATATGGGCACTCCACAGAATGGGGTGCTTGATCAGGCACCCCCAGTGGAACCCATCAGAGGTGGCTTTTGTTAACCCTTCAGTTCCTGAAATTCTATCTTTACCATCATCCACTGCCGCTGGGGGGTCCACCAACCCTCCTCCCACCTTCCAAGGGCCTTGGAGTGGGGTGTTGGCCAAACAGTGCCCATCTGGATGGTGGTGGGTCCCTGCCTGGGGGATCTGATTATAATGCAATTACTGGGAATAAATGATCTCAGGATCTTCTCTTGGTTTGACATTTCTTAACCACTAGTTCTCTGGTGCTGAAATTCCTAAGAGAGAGTGGAGACCTGCATCCCAACAAGAAATCATTCATTCATTCAACATTTATTGAGTGCCTCCTGTGTATCAGCCAGCACCATAGGCTCTGAGAACGCACAGGCACCATGACTGTTCGTCAGCCCTATGTAAAGTACAGACAAAATGAAAGAGACTCATTTCTCTTTTTTTGAACCAAAACAAGAGAGGGTAGGAAGAGCAGGGTCAGGCTTTTATTCATGTTCTTCCTGTCCCTCCAGAGACTACCCCTCACTCTACTCTGTCTGGCTAACTCCTGTCATCCTACAAAACAGTCCACATCGTCTCCTCCAGGAAGGCTTCCCACATGCACTGCCGTGCATCTTTCTTGCCAACTGCCACATTTCATTAACTTTGTTTATATGTC